CATATACAATCGCCGTCCATGGAAGTTCCGACTCGGGTCAAATCATGCTTGTAGACTCCTTTGTGAGCTTCGCGGCCCAGCGCCGTTCCCCATGCAAGATGTGTGTGTTCACCACTCCTTAGCATACACTAACAACCTTGTCTATCGCCGGCCTTGTATTCCAGCCTTTGCATCGCTAGAATGATACAAAGTGGACGCCGATGTCGCTGCTGCCAGCTGTCGTCATTTAGAGTCCTGCTCTTCCTAGACTGGGATCCCATCGTGATCATTAGCCCCTTTACACCTCCTTTTACAGCATTGTTACGTACGACTCCGCATCGTATACGTTCAAGGTTAGGTATCTACATCTACACTACGCATCGCAGTAAGATCTGAAAGCAAAAATCAAATGTTCACGTCAATAACCCGAGATCTCCTGAAATTTGTTCAAACTCCAGAGTGCACAATCAACTGTGATTGATCCCTCTTTCCGAGTGCTCTAGACAATCACGCTCTCAACACCTCCTTTACTCCACCCCTCAACCCTTCCCTTATCACAAGTTTCCCAAATCCGCTTCAACAGACCCTTATACGCCGCAACCTCGTCCTCGGAGCTGACAACAGTGCCTGCTCCACCTTGACTCTGCGTTGCGGACATGCTCTTCTTCATCTTCAGCAGCTCCTCTAGCCAACTAACTACGCCGAACCTTGTGACAAGCGTTGTGCTGCCTCCTTCGATCTTGGATGCTCGGTACAGTATCCTTAGGACCTGCATTCGCAGCGGCGTCCTCATGTATGGGTTTCCTGCTACCGCCAACAACCGCTCAAACAGCGGGCCCTTTGCCCCCTTCTTGTGGAACAATTCCAGGTCCTTGGATGTTCTAAGGCCGTCCAGCAGATATGCCAGTAGCCAGTTGAGCTGCGAATAGTACGAATCGCCAATCGCGGGTTCCTCGGTCAGGACTTCATCCGCCAGCGGCACTCTGTCCACGCTCCAGAAGGGCCCCCTTGTGAGGAAGGAGTTGATCTTGGGATAGAGGCTGTGTGTCGGGTCACGCAAGACGTTGACGGCATGGCAAGCGAAAGCAACGATGGTGCTCGGGAGCGGCGCCACTGCATTGATGGCCTGACTTGCGGCTGCCACCCTGGCGGTTTCGGCGAGCTCTGACAATAACAACCAGATCTGCTCCTTTTCCTCGTACTCGGATTGCTGGACCTTGGATGCCATTTTGAGGACGTTGACGAGCGCTTCCTTCCTAATACTGGCGTGCTCAGAGGCAAGTAGGCTGATGAGGGAAATGGCGTACCCTTCGTCCACAAGCTCGTCCACTGACTTGGATTGCCATTTGACAAGTGCTGAGTTATCGGTGGCCAGACTGTCTGGAACATCGAGAACACGCTCCAACTGCTCGCTGTCCAAGGCGGCGGCGTCGTCACCAGACTCCGATTTGTCCCCTTCCGCTGTTGTATTGTTCTTGTCTTGCTTGGCTTGGATTGACTTCCCAACTCCTGCTTGCTTGAATGGGTGTTTTTTGGGCATAGTCAATGATTTCCCTAGACCCTTAGCAAAAGAGTCAGACATGACTGCCAGCGCAGCCTCAAGCAAAGGCTTGCTCTCTCCAGCAGCTGCCGAATACCCGAGGAACTTTGGCAAGAAACGGCCGAGTCCATCAAGTGTACTCTTGGAGTCCGCTGCCTTGGCAGCAAAAGGCAGTTGTTCGATAATAGCAGCAACTAACGGGTTGACAGTATTTACCTCGTCCTCTGCATCCTTGGGTCTTAGATCTTGCAGCAATTCGAGATACTTGACCGGTGCGGTTGTACAGCGAGTGAGGCACTTATCCAAGAAAGGCCACAAGACAGCGAGTGATGAAGGAGACGACGCCATGAGCTCCTTGAGAGTCTCGAGAAGAACAGAAATTCCTGGATGCCCCTTATCCTTTGCCGGAACGACCTGCTGCTCCACCGCTACGAAATCGAGAACTTGCCGCACCGGTGCCAACGAAACGCCATGGGGTGCCTCGACATAGACCTTCAGCAGGGTTAAAAACGGTGAGAGAGTAAGCTGCTCTGTCGCCGCAAACCACCTCATACCTGGCGAGTATCCTGCAATCGCCAGGAGATTCTCCAGTTCTTTGAGGCTTAGCGCAAAGTCACGAGGATCATCCTCACCGACCTCTTCTGAGCGAGTCTCCTTCTGTTGTTTGTGCTTGGACAATCTCTTGAGCGCTGTCTCTAGTAATGGGGCGACGTCGAACTTGGCCATAAGCGCAACCTGCGGGATCACCTCGTAGTACAAGCGCAATAGCTGACTGGCAGCCTCACGGTGCAAGAGATCGTCTTCTGGGATAGATCTGTACGAGTTGATCATCTCCTTGATGCCTGGACTCCTTTGGCAGAATTCGTCAACTAACCGGCGGGCTGCTTCTGTCCAGAGCGCTTGGTTATTGTGAAACTTTGAGCTGTGAGCTGGGTCTTGGTGCATTTTAACAGCTGTATCGAGCTTCTGCACCGCCAGAATGAGTATTCGGGTCGCAAAGAAGGAGATCATCCTGGACTTGTTTGTTAAGCAGCGGCTGAGTGCTTTCTGGTTCAGGGGAAGAGGAAGGATGTTGTCCATGACGATGGATGTCGGGGGAGGTAGTTCGGCATAGCCAGACCCACGGCAAAAGTACTCAGGCAACGGCAGCGCTACCGTATTGAACAAAAATGCTGCATATCCAATCCATGTCGCAGACAGCTTGGGTTCGAAGGTAAATGATTTGTTCTTGATGAAGAAGTCGGCAATCAGCTCGGGCGCGACCTTGAAGATCGAAGTGATCAGCTCACTCTGTTTCACGCTTGACCATGGGCGGAGATTTTGGAGCAAGTTTGATAGAACAAAGTTGCGGACGGGAACCTCTGTTTTGAACTTGTTCATCCACACAATAGCTTCCAGCCCGAGCTCTTCAAGATCCGCGCTGGGGATAGCCGCGTTCGGATCCGCTTCTCTGGGATACAGTCCGGTATCCTGTCTGATAACACCACATGATGGGTTGGCGCACGCGGTCATGAGGAAGTCATGGGCAGCGTCTGGTATAGACGGGAGATCGTCGTTAGCTTGACGGTAGTAGTATAGACCCGATATCTTGATCAATGTCGTGGAACTGAGCAGATTGGATTTGGCCTCCCGAGTAACCTTGCTGTCAAGTAGGACGTAATCTCTTAACCCATTGAGAAGATCTAGCACCAGGTAAGGCAGATCTTGCTTGACATCTCTTGTGAGGGCAGTAACGACGTCCCTTTGCGCAAGCAGCTCCTTTTTGGCTTCGGGATGCAAGTATTTGAGGGCGCTCAGGAAGAATTGGACAGCATTTGTGCGTGGAGAAGGCTTCTTGATGTCCTCAGGTTCCTCGCCGATGTGAACAATCCCCATGTTTCGTGCCAATGACTTGAGCATCGACATTCTAGCGCGGAACATTGGCCGAGCAATAGCACCCCCATCGAAGCATACCGCCTCCCTGAGCATACGCAGGGTGGGCGAGATAATGAAAGCCTTTCCTTTGTCGGCCGACAAGCTGCGGGATATCAATTCTTGCTGACGTTTTTGCAACAAGGTTCTGCAGATGCCCAATCCGATTGGCGTAAGCTCAAGGCTTTGAGACAGCAGTTTTAGAAGCAGCGCGAGGATGACCGGTACAGCAGAAAGGAGGTTCTCGTTGTTGACTTGGCCGGCGTGACTCCATGTTTGCATGATATCGGGGAGGTATGTGGAGCTTTCGTCGTCCTCAGTTGGTTTCGTGGACTGTAAATATTCCTTGACGATCGTGAAGCGTAGTTCATGCTGTTGGCGTTTCTCAGAACTGTCGGTATCGTCATCGCGGGATAGTAAAGAATCGAGAAGGAGCTTGAACGATTGGAGCCCTGCATAGAGTTAACGCTTGCGAGTAATCATGGGACTGGGTGATCATGAGTATCCTCACCATGTCTCGAACGCCCAAAATCTGGATCAAATGCGAGGAGCTGCCTCAATTGGCGACTGGTGTGTATCACCTCGGACGTCGGAGCCTCGTGGACGACGCGTTGCCTTTTGCGCGGCCCATCCCCATTTTCTGCACCTCTGAACTGTCGTTTCCCCATTCTGAAGAATCACGGACTCCTTTCGGAGTCGGAAGTTGGGTATGTTTCGGTTTCGTGATCGACTGGTTGGATTTGAAGCTTTCCTCGTCAACTTTCTGGGAATTTCCTACCGTTTGCATGTTCTGCGGTGATTTACCGCCTGCCAATCGCGACTAAAGTGGAGCGTTCATGGTTTCACTACTCCACCAGAGTGATCGGGGTCGCAGCTTGAAGAGCCACCAGGGTTCAATTCACCCCACATGGTCTCGTCATTGGTCAGGGGTACCTGCATTCATGTACATTTACCGTAATGTAGTTTACTTTCACATGACATTAAGTGCACTCGGGTACAGCGGCATCTCGTGAAACCCAGTTCATCCGAGCTCATCCAACAGTACACTACATGCAGCGGGAGTGCCCTACGGCCTTCCCATTGCGATACGATGGGTTTTCCAAAACCGGGAATTCCAGAGACCATTTAGGCTTCTGTTCTCCAGTCATTCCCTTGATGTGCTGATCGGTCCATTGACCACATCTTCTACACCATCATCCGTCACGAGACTCTGTACACCCAATGACCGAAGCCGTTTTGAAAGAAGACTCTCTGCTGACCCAGGGCGCCCGTTTGTAACATGGCCGAAAGGATTACCGCCATATCCAACGTCTCCCCTGTTGAGCTTGTCGTATCTACCCAACAGAGCTGGAGGTCCCGTCAGCGCTAGTCCGGTCATGGCATCACTACCGGCTGCCATGGCTGTGGGTCGGGGGAAATGGAGACAATTATTGAGATATTCTGCGTCTTGACTTGGTTGACGGATGTCGGTTTGGTTCTCATCATGTCTGTCGGCAGCCAAACCCGGAGCATGCTGTGACGGTTTTGGAGCAACAGAGTTATTTGTTGGAGTAGACGACAAGTTGCTTGTTCGCAATGCTCTGTAGGGCATGTACCGCGGCTCTGGGTACGTGACTTCATTACGAAGCTTCTCGGTGCCATCTGGAACCCGATTGGCAAATACGACCCTGATGTCCTTGTACAAATAAAAACGACCTTTTGACGGGCTGCAAATATGAAGATGGATCAAATATCGAAGAATAGGAGGGCCGTCCGGCACTGTACTCTTAAGGCCGTCAATGATGGGTCCCGCAGAGTAACTCCGCTGGCGGATGAACGTCTTTGTGCCCGCTTCCATGCCTGTCAAATCATATGGAACCAGAAAGAGTTTGACAGCTGTTTTGTTCTGGTTTTTGATGACGATTTGGAGTTGTCCCTTCTCTGGAATGCGGTACGAGCCTCCAGGAGGCGATTTGTGAGATCGTGACGTTTTCTTGTTCTTTTCGAATCTCTGACCATTGCCCCCTGAAGCTTCGTCCCCAATATCATGAACAATGTGGTCGCCATCAGGTGATTTTTGTTCGGCATGCCTTGATTCTTGTTTTCGTTTGGACCGTTGCGATTCCTCTGGATTTGGCAATCCGTTCTCTAAGTCGATTTGGCCCACGTAGGGACTCGGTCCATCATCCCCTCTACTCCTGCCATGAACAGTACTGGAATAACGATAAAAGACAGCTGAAAATGGCAGAGTGACGTGAGATGGGCAACGCAAATGCAGTTTGCATTTCCCGATACCTAGGACGCCGATTTGCGCCACGAACTCCAAGGGTTTGGAAGGCGTTGTTGACATTCGTCCCCTGAGAATACTTTCTTCATAAGATCCAACCATAGATGCATGCTGTAAGGGAGAACCTTCAGAGCTGTGAGATAGACGCCTTGACCGACACATGGAAGGCGTTTGAGGGGAAGAGCTTGGTATCGAAAGGCCAGAGAGCGACGCTAATGAACGGCGAGGTTGATGTGCTTGGCACGGAAGTGTACGCTCCCTGTGTGGCGGTGTATGCCTCAACATTCCTCCGTGGCTCAGAGGACAACCTTGAGCCCAGTTCATTGTATGCCTTCGCAACCTGGGGGATCCGGATATGATCCCGTCCGAAGATGTCTCTGATTCAATATCCTCGCGGCTTTCTGTATGTACTAGAGGACTGGTGGGGAGTTTATAAGCAAAACTTGTGGAGAGAGATGAAGAAACCGAGGAAGAGGGTGAACCAAAGGCCTCCTTTCTATAATCCATTGCCTTCCGTGGAAAGGGCCACGGCGTAGGCTCTCTGGAGGCCCATGAGTCTTTGAAGTTCCCGAAGTCTTGGGATTTCCGTGGTTGAGAAGCGTCTTGTCTGTCGTGTCCATCGGAAGTTTGATTGTCTGGCGTAAAATCCCCGCTGTGAAGGGCAGAGCGTGGGCGTTCGATGTCAAGCCCCGACTCGAGCTGTCCAGCAGTCTTTACGTCAAATTGGCTCCATTCACCATCTTGCTTCTCTTGAGTAATTGCAGGTGGGGAAAGCAAGCATGACCCGTTTAAAATTAACGTCTGAGGTGTCTGTGGGGATGGCTGTACTTCGTCTTCATAGAGCCGTGACTCAAGCTGCAAGCATGTCAGCATGTCAGTAGGGCAAGAGGGTATAATAGCCAAACCCAGATATAGAAACGTACATGGCGACCGGGCACCCAATTTGGACTTTCTGTCCTCTTTAAGAGATGCATGAGCTCAGCTCGATCGTAGGTCAAGGCACTGGGGAGCTTCCTCTCAGGAGGGGCTGGGCTATACGGGCTGTCGACTGGTCCCTCGCAAAATTCAGTCCTGATGCTCTCCTCAGAGACACGGCAAGGCAATGACTTTGGGGAGGCCGTCACAGGATCGGACTGTATACGATCAGTGGGCTCCGGCATCTCCGCATGAGAGACGTGAACGAGACGGCCCTGATTTAACAGGTTGTGGGAAAAGGGCATGATGAAGTGACACTATGCGATTCAAAGAAAAGCCAAAATGCGGTGAAGGGCGTCTGTGCTCTTTGAAGAACTAAATTCCGCGCCGATCAAAGAGTTGAAGCAGTTTGGATCCTAGGCAGTTTATATCGAAACAATTTCCATGATTCCAACCATAAACAATGAGCTGTGTTGGAAGTTTGCTGGGCCGGAAATTCGGGGGAGTGGAGGAAGTTCGTTAATCCAAGACCTATAGGGGAGATAGCAGGATCAGTCCGGACATGCACAAGACCTGGACCGTGTGTTGATTAAATCGCGGTGGCGGAGAAGAAGAGCGCAAATATCATCATAGTCGGAAGGTCGTCGAAGCTGGATGGGTCCGGAACTCGAGTCAAGCATCACAGCACTTTGCTAGAGCTGTGAGGGTGCTATTTGGTACAATCGAGCAAATCGATTTGATCGGACGATATGTTTGTGATTCAAAAAGAAAGGTACTTAGATCAGACAAAAAGAACCTCCAGGTCATGGCATGTAGACGTCGATAACACAGACTTGCGCCAGGCCTAGGTATGTATTTGGCGGATTGTGGGAATTGGGCAAACGTCTCTTCTAAGACTCGAAGAGCTTTGAATTTAATGGACTTGGAAAAGAGCAACGGGAGTGATGCTGCGAGTCACGGCACGGCCCCAGTCTGTTGCAACCGGTGACGAGGTGTTGGCTGAGTGGTAGTGTGCGTAGAGTTCGATATGCATGCAGTATAGACGGGACGGAAGGGACCAGTGACAGTTTCATGAGATGGCAGTGCAGCGATGGCAGTAATGCAAGCGGGAGCCAACATGTACACCACAGTTAGGTATGCCTTTTCCGCATATGTAATCACCTGGAGTGGAGCTGGAGATCTGCGCCGGACTCTTTGCGGTTGAGGTCGAGACGTGTTTGTAGGTCAGGTATCCATATGAACCGGGTCGGGCATGTTGGATGCCTCTGCTAAACTCATCGAAGGAGCAACAAAAGGTGGATTGAGCGAGGGATTCAAGAGATGGGCTTTGGCTTGCAGTTGGGAACTTTGAAGCCCGATGTGGTTTAACAAGCGGAGTGGATACGGTACCCCTCATCTGGTAGTACCTCTACTTACCCGTAAAGGTACACGGCGGCTTGCGCAGTAAAAACGGGATGATTTTGATGTGATCACGTACTTGTCAGTTAGGCATTGACACCCATGGTGATTAATTTGTTCACTCCCATCTATCTTGCATTGCCCCTGAGGATTCAAACCCGTTCTAATTTCTAGGTCCGCCGTCCAAGGTTTTGGTGATTAACCGCTGTGCGGTACCGACGCATCCGATCGAGGTGTTCCTGGACTTTAGGTAGTTCTGACCTCGATGATGCAACGGGCATGAACTGGCCAAATTCGGCGTCATCTGGCGGGAGGTTAGGTAGGTAGTTCCTTAGTCCAGTAACCCCTGCCATTAGCCCCACAGCCAGCTGACCGCCTAGCTCTTGTCAGTTCTTCTGCCAGTGTCTCCCGCCTGTAGCGATAACGACCTGCCAGGGGCAGCTTATCAGTATATTTGTATCTTGTAGTGTAGGTAGTGGTAAAACTACCCAGGAGGGGGAAAAAAAAACCAAAAAACAACCAAGCTTCCTCCAAACGTAACACCGAAATCAGCATCATCTAATTACCATCTCATTGCCCGTCAATTATCCCAGACTAGATAACGTCCGCTCTTACATTCTCCAATCACCAACAATCAAACTTTCACAATCAACAGCATGGCACCCAAAAGAGCCCTTGACGAGGGCCCGACAACCGGCGCTCCGGATAAGAAAAAGGCCAAGCATGGCTTCCGTGTTGGCCCAGAGAACCTCCCAGATGGAGCGTGGAAGCGCAAAGGTAATCACCACTTTGCGTATTCCAAGAGAGTCTTGCTTCGCCCATATACATGCTAACATGAAAATTCTCATCAACCAGTCACCAAGATCAAGAGGGAGCTCATCACCAAGGCCAAAGTCAAGAAGCAATACGCCAAAATCAAAGCCCAGAAAGAAGCCGAAGCCCCAGCTGCCTCTAGTGTCCCCGTCGGTCCCGTTCTAGATGCCCACGTCACCATGGAGGACGACAACAGCAACTACAAAATTGACAACGAGGTAGAGAGAGATGTAGACACCCCCGCGCCAATTCACCCTTCGCGGCAAATCCTCCTCGAGAAAGGCGCCGCTGCCAAAGCAGCTAGAGCCGAACAACAGAAACCTAGTGAAGAATCGCACAACGAGAATGAAGAGAATGCCAACGGAGGAGAAGAACAAAAAGAGGTCCAACGGACAACAACGACAACAATAACCACAACTACCACCCAGGAAGACGATGACGGTGTCTACATTCCCCCACCCATGGACCCAAACATGCACCCCTCGCGCCTTCCCAAACGCCACCGCAAACCGAACTACTACGAAAAAGAGCTAGCGCTCGCCGAGAAGAAGAAGAAGCAGGCGGAAGCGCGGGCGGCCGAGATTGCGCGGCGCGAGGAGGAGAAGCGCCAGCGTATCGCTGAAAGAGAAAAGTATCGCAAGCAGATGGCCAAGGCGAGGCAGCCGGGAGCGAGGGATGGGAAGATGAAGCTTGGAAGGCAGGGAAATTTGTTGTTGGATAAGGTCAAGAGGATTGTTGGACAATGAACACGGTCAGTGGCACCCGGGGGAAGAGGGAGGGTGGCTAGCTATGTGCTCGAAAGCGAGTTGGACGGGGCGAGCCAGGGCTGGACTTGTTGGTTTGTTGGGTGTAGATTTCTGCACTCAGGTTATGTTTGCGTGGATGTTGGGCGGAATGCCTGACAAAGTTGTTGCGTCTGTGAAACACATGATACCCGGCTGAAGAAAGGGAGGAAGGAGAGGAGATGCTTTTAGAATGTCACGAAGAGAAAGGACAGTCACAATTTTTCAAGTAGGTGCTTGTAGAATGTATAAGTTACCTTTCCTTGATGCGGCCATGAGGACAGTCGACCACCGACACGAGATTGATAATACATATCTGACCGAGCCGCGACGTCCGCACCCGACTTTCCTGATCATATCTGTGTGCTCAAAGGAAATCATAATTACGGAATGCATATGAAGCCATCAATAACCGACTCAGCGAGTCGTTGCGACAGGCGAGACATACTCGAATATAAGAGGGTAATCACACAGCTGTTTTTACGGACAGTCGCGAACTGCCCCCCCAAAATCATGGGGAAATTTGTCCCATTTGATCCAGACAGCAATGGTTTGTGCCATTCTCCTCATCAACTCATATTAGACTTAATCCAATCCAACTGTAGAATATCAGACCGAACCTTTCCCAGCCCACATAGGACACACGCAAAATCACTGCAGACCACCCTTGTCCTTCTTCAGCCAAGTCATAAACACCATTTTTCATTTTTCTTCTGGCCAAAATATTCAGATCACCAAAGAGCAAGAAAGCCCCAAAGTGGGAACTGGGCAAGATATGGTGCGGAGAGGCCCTACGAGCCTTCCACGAGAAGAGAACAACAACGCCCAATTGAGTCCTTGTGCATCTTCCATGCTTCGACAAGCGCATCGGCTAGTCGCTTCGGCCAAGCTTGCGGGAAAAAAACCAAAACATTTCATCAGTATATACAAACCACGTGTAGGTCATTCGGTGGTTAAGGATACTCTCCCGTCCATCTTCAGTTCGCCCGCACCGCGCTCACGCGCTCGCTAACTCCTTATTCCTCAAAGATGAGCGCACTGTTCTCGATCAGGAACTGCACGGCATTGTTCTTGGCGTGCATGTCTGTCATTTCTTTCTCGAGACTGTGATCTCTCATGATGGTGGGCGCAAACACCACAGCCAAGTTTTTGGGTGACATCTGATGAGAGCCAGTCAGCCGGATGTCCCGAGTACAGGGAAAAGAGACCATTGGAACGGCAGACTTACCAAATTCTCGCGTTCTCTGCTCGCTACTCGAGCAAGATGGAACATGAGGAACTCGAGACAGTCGCGGTGCTTTGGTGGAAGCATGTTGACCGTTTTTTTCAGGTGAGCGCATTTCTCCTCTACGTCTTGAATATCTGTGGAAAAAGCTGGTGAGCATCCGTCTACACCCGTCAATTGAGGATGGACTTACTATTGGACTCCAAGACCCTTTCATACACCTCGAACGTCAGCAAGGGGTTGGGAAGCTTGCGGAAATACTGTTTAAGGACACTCGTCACAGCAGTAATATCGATCTCCGGGTCGGAAATGTCGAAATCTTGCTGCTTCTCGAAGCCCTCTTGAATCATCTTGATTTGAGAGTTGCCTCCGGTTTTCCTGTAGATTCCCTCAACATCCATACCGCGAAGCTCTACCTCCTCGATACAGCGCGTGACCACGCTTGGTATCTGACGGCGTTCATGCTCAGTCCGCTCAATCAGGTCGGAACCGAAGAGAGTAGTGGGGGCTTCTGCAACCGCAGGGGTAGAGATATTGGTCACCGACATCGACTTTTGCTGCGCGTTCGGCTTTTTGCCACCGAAGAAACCAAACCCTCCACCACCACCTCCTCCACCTTGCCGCGCGTTATCAACCATCACAGGTTTGATGGTGTTGGCTGGTGGGGGAACGACAGTGACCGGAGCCTCAACCTGGGCAACTGTCATGGCATAAGGAAGACCAATGTTATCTCCGTTCAAGGAGCCCTGCTGCTGCTGCTGCTGCTGCTGCTGCTGCCTCTGGGTTCCTTCCTGTCCTTGGAATGCGCCTGCCGCACCACGGATACCCTTCGAGATATTGTGCGCCACCTTGCTGGAGCCCTTCTTCCAGTTGAACTTCTTGACCTGGCCCTTGCGGATGTTCACCACGGTAGGGCCTTCCACAAGCGGATCTTCCATATCAGGACCAACCATAGTCGTAGCTGTTTGTAAGCTCGCGGCGTCCATGTTGAGTGAAGCACCCTTGGTGTGGCCGTAAATACCCAAACCATTGGGTGACTTGAGCTCGCCGTTATTGATCTGCTGCTTAAATCTCTCCTGAATCTGGTGAGTGAGATCATTGTTCATATCGGCCAACTGAGCGTTCTTGGAAGACAGCTGCTCAAACTCGAGCAGAGCGCGATCGCGGTCGGCAATGGCTTGGTTTTTCTCCTCAACCAAATCGTCTCTCTCCGCGATGAGTTGCTCGATCGCAGAGGTCATGTTGTGCTTGAGACGTTCTAGCTTTTGGACAAACTCCTTGATTGCGGACTCCTCCAACTCGCGAGCGTCAAACGACTCGTTAGTCTTCTTTGCACGCTCAACATACCCGGCCAGTACCTCAAGTTGCCTGATCATGATCTCAGTCTGAGTATCAAGCACCGAAACCGTCTTCCTCTTCTCGATCAACTTCTTGTTAAGACTCTTAAGATCCTTTTCCGTGTTGAACTGTCGCTCCAGCTCTGCCACCCGCTGTTCGGAGCTTCTGAGTTGCCGCTTCAGATAGGCTGGATCATCCTGTGTCGTACTAGCCAAAGACAACGGACTCGTTATATCGTTGATATTACCAGTGGAGTAGTCCTCAACAATCGGAGTTCTCGGCCAACGGGGCGAAGTAGTTCCTCGAGTGGTCTCGCTCACGCTCCTACTGTGAGAAATTCTGCCAGGAGTAGCGCCTGTTTCACCACTGCTGTTCCGTCCATGTCGTACTGCGTTTGAGACCCGGCGGAGGATTGACGATGAGCCCTCATCTGTTCCTAATATCCTGGCCATATCCTCATCCATGCTGAACTCGACCCCAGAGCTCCACCTAGGTAGCTTGGGTGATGGTTTCAGCTCCTGGACTTCACCACTTGTTGTCGACTGGTTTTTGGGTGTCTGGGCCTGAGTGGGAGGCAAAGGCGGTGCGCGGGGTTGCATATACGTGTTACTAAGCTTCGCCTCAGGCGGCGGGGGACGGATCGGGAGAGCAGGACCCTCAGAATTGTTCGACCCAGGAACCGGCAGAGGTTTGCCATCGGCTACTTGCAATACGTCAGTAAACAGAGCTGATACAATCACACAGGATTGGAATGGGGACGTACAGTTTCTGGATACAGGAGGCGGGACCTCTTTCCGTGGAATGGGTCGCCCAGCGTTCGAGACTTCTGAGCGCGAGGTTACAGAGTCGCTGGACGGCCGTATCTCATCGCTCATGGGATCCCTAGGACGAGAATCCTGAGAGGACCTAGGGGTCATGATCCTGTCTGGACTCATAGTTAAAGGGGGCTCAGGACTCTCCTTATTCCGTGGCGTAGTTCCATTCTCGATGCTGTTGCTTGCTTGAGATTCGCTCCGGTTACCCACAAGCCTCTTACTTTTGGGTACATTCTGCAGCTTGAAGTCCTCGTTGTTGGGCTGCTGATTGTAGGCTTCGGCCAAAATGCTAGCGATATGGGCCGGCTTTGTGTTACCAATCACATCGGCCGCTCGAGAGAGCTTCCGGGGTGGGAGCCGCTCCTGTTGGGGACTTTCATAGTCAGACGACGGCTGCCTCTCTTGGGCCATCTGCGCCATCAATGCAATGTGGGGTGTTGGCGCCGTCGATTCCTTCTTGTCTGCCTGGACAGCATTTGACCTGGCCGAGCCAAAATAATCTTTGTTTTTGCGGCTCGTGTCTGAAATTGTGTCTGCCGTAGACTGAGGCGTGATGGACGGCGCGGGACTCTGGTCAAGCGCGACAGGAATGAAGAAGTCCTCAGCATCCCCCCCGCTGAGATCAGCAGAAAACATGGTTGAATTGCGGTTGTGTCTATAGTTTGGCGCTGGCGGGGCCAGCACCGTTTCCTTGTTCGTTTCCGCCAATCTTTCGGGGGAGCGGTCAGGTCTCGAACTGCTCCGCGACGATGAGTCCTGCCGTCCATAAGCATTTCGCGGTCGTGGTGATAGTTCGGTAGGGGTATCAGAGTCCGCCGCAAGCTTTTCGGCTGCGAAACCTGTGCTGGAAGGGGGTACAGCGTTTGGCGGTAGCGCAGGAAGGGATTTGTCGGTGTCTCGAGCTTTTGCTTGAGCCGCTGCTTTTGCTTTCTTGCGTCTTCGTGCCATTAGACTCTCGTGGCAATTCATGCAAAATATGCCATGAGCCGTCCTGGCGTAGCGCAGGTTTTCGATCTTTCTCTTGCAATTCCTACAGCGGAAGCATGTTGCGCAAAAGGCCTGATCTCCGGTCAGGATGGCCAAGTCCTCAATCTTATTACCGCAAGCACTACAGCTGTATGTGCAGTTGTTGCAAATCAGCGACCCGTCTCCAAGCAGAAGGAGGTTCGCATCCGAGTCAAGGAGCGTGTTGCATGTGTTACAACGGAAGCAATCGAGATGCCATCGGTTTCCAGCTGTGATATTGTCAGTTAATAACGTAGATCATTAACACCCACTTCACTCGCTCCGAAACGCTCATGCTATTGTGGATGCCGCCAGTTGCGAAGGATTGATACCCCCAGCAAGCGGAAGGGAAGCAAGCTATAGGTATCTATGTATTAACAACATACCAAGTTCGAATGCTTTGCCTTCTTCCAGAATCTAGCACGGGACGGTCAGCATTGATCAAGGAGTAACTTGGCTGGATGGGGGGGCTTACTTCACCGCATCCTTTGCATGGGAACACATCGTCCGCATCCATGGGGGCGTCAAGATAGTCATCCATGGTTGCGGTGTTCACCCTTAAAACTGCGCCGAAATTCCAAGTTCACCACCAGCTTTGTCGGGTGTGGGACAATCGCAAGGATCAAACTGCTTAGGGGCGAGCGTTGAGGGAAATGGGTATTTGTCAAAAATAGCACATGGAGGGTATTCCGATCGCACGCTGTCCTTCAGGGTGAAGCCGATTGTGGTCTGTACCGGTGAAAAAAAAAAAAAGGGGGGGGGGGGGAGGGGGGGGGGG